TTTGCCTCTCATGTCTAACTTCCTTTTTATGTATTAATCATTACTACAATATTTACCTATAACCCTTATGTAAGGAACTTTGATTTTAACAAGATTGTGTTTGCAATAATCTTGATTGTTCAACCATACCTTACATTCGCGGATAAAGCAAAACTGTTGTAACGCGATGAGAAGTCTCCTTGCCCAACAGGAAACTCATTACTCAAACCTTCTGATGTAAACATTGATCCGTTTACAGAGCGACTTCCTGGTTCAAGTCCAACCTGGTGTCCTTCCCGTCGTTGTTTGCAGAGTTTTTCTGTGCAATAAAGGATTACCAGCATTTCACTTTCCGCCGGAGCCGAGGAATGAAGTGGTTTAGGTAATCCAATTAAACGCTTTGGCCCTTTTGGGATTTTATATCTTTAAGTCACCGAGCATGAACCGGGATGTCACTGCTTCGCAACTGACCAAGAGCATTTATTGCATGTAATTCACATTTTGTTCTCAACTCATCTACTTTTACAGCTAATAAAGGTGTAAAAAGGACTTCTGTAGACTGCAAGGATTTTATTCCTAAAGCCAAATTAAATACAAATTCTAAGTAAGACAAGGCTAACTTAGAAATTTGAGTGGATTGATCATTTTTTTAATTCAAAGGTTCTTATGGAATAGTGTTGGCCCATTGTCATAACCATTAATAGTGGTGACTGCTCCAATGTTCATTTAACGTTTGATACAACGTGGCACTGAGATTGTGATGCGTCTCACATTCGAGGCAGAATCATTTATTTACCATATTCAAAAACAAAAGGTGCAAAACATATAGTCAACCACAGTTTAACATAAGATACATTCATCCGCTGGCTACCAAGCTGCCAAAACAGTACCTTCACACAAACAAACTCACTCCCTTATGATTATTTCCTCACCAGGTGAGTGCATACAAAATTAAAGTATTCCAGTTATTTATTCAATTATCATATTCCTTTTCAACTATATTGTCCTTTCATGAAATAAAATACATAAACACACATGTGAACAAACACGTCTGTTCTTCCTACCATTTACAATATATATCGGCTGCACCTTCATTGAATTTGGGACTTTGCTGCACTATTAAAAACATTTAATGCAATTTTCGTATTTTTTAAAGCATACTCTCATTGTGTTGTGTAAATGTTGTTCAAATACATTTTTCTATAGAAAAATAATTGCAACAACTTTAAAAGTTGGGGATTTCAAGAGTAGGTGGCATCTATTCATGGATTTTATAAAAAGCAACAACATGGAAGATTTCCAGACTCTAAAAGAGTGTTTGAGTCAGGACGTAAGCTGACATACAGTAAAGCTGGGCATCCGTAGTAGTTTAATATTTTCCGTAGTAGTTAATATTTTATGTTCTTCTGCCTTTGTATTACTTGAATATGTTGTCTATGGTGGATCATGTACTCAAAAGAAAAGAATAAATAGGTCATAAAAATACTGTCGAAGAGCACATGCAATTCTGTGTTTCTGAACATGCACGTAGAGTATGTTACAATTTTGCAGCAAATGGTCTTAATGCACCAATAATAATATTTAATGTAAATCCATGCCCAAAGGAAACCAGACTTAAAGCGGATAGTAACATTTGCAATAACTTATTTTCCACATCTCAACATTTAGTAGATCTCTTAAGAGCTTTTCCTCAAATGGAAAAATTTGAGTTCACTTAGTCCCATAGAGGTGAATCTTAGGGCAGCGCAAGTGTTTTCCACCCAGAGAGGATATTAAAATACCCTTCCGTCAACATTAGAGGCTCATCTGAGGGTTTGGGAGGGATTGGCATATCAATCTGCCGGATTTCATCCTGGCAGTCTGCAGGAAATAAGGTTAAAGCCTCCCGATTGTCTTCTCTCAGCTGTGAATATCTTAATGCATCTTTGGCTGGCATCAGGTTTCGATCTGCTGAGCGCTAAGGCTCGTCCGGACTAAGCATTTCACCCAAATTCACTTGAAAGTTTCATTTAATTCATTTATTTAAATTTGATATTTACATAAATAGAGTAAGAATACGATTTTGATGACTGAATGGATAAATTGCACGCACAACTCACTAGATAACGCAAGCTGATGCAGAAGATGGACAGGAAGGAAGCGGAGGAATGTGGGTAAAGGGCAGCAAAGTTGCATCTAAGGATAATACAAGGCCCATTTTGAATGCTACCTGTTGTGTGCTGCAGCGCCAGATGTTGACCTCGTTGCTACCTCCATCAGGAGGTCCTATTTGTCGCAGCATAGTTCAATGAATAAACATTTAATCCACATGATGGATGATAAGGTCTCTTTTCCGGAGCAAGTTGATTCCTGGTGTCAGATTTGGTAATGCAGATTAGTGAGAACAGCTGCTCTGAGTGGAGCGAGCAGAGAACAAGCTGTGCCCCCTTTCGTGAGTCACGGGAGCTGGAGATTACCTGTGTCACAGCTATTTCGCTCACGCTGGAGTCTGACCATACCATCCATGCAGTGGAACTCCTCATCCCCAGTGACCCGTAGAACCTTTTGCACAGGATAGTCCAGGAACTCTTCTTTAATCCTGTGCTGGTCCGTGGGCTCTTGGAATGGGAGCAGGTAATCAAATCCCTTTTCAAAAAAACCTTTCAAAAAACAGATATTTAATACTCCTGAGGGGAGTTTTTATCACCGATTGACTCTGTTGAAGGGTGAAAATGAGATTTTAGTAGCTTTCCATTGGATAAAGTACAGCACATCTTCCACATGGGAGTACACAAAAAGTACACAAACTGAGCAAGAGAAAGCAGGTAGCTTTGCCAGCACATACTCTGTAGATCTCAGCTTCTTTAATAATATCACTACAAGAAATATCACCAGCTCCATAAAGCATTACAACAGTGTATTTTGTTACAATTTACAGGAAATTAAAACAATAAACAATTTCTCACAATAGGTCCTAAACCTTTTGGACACACTAATTATCTTATCTTAGATATCGTATCTTATCTGTAGTCTGATTTAGGGGCAATACAATTCTTAATTAATAATAAAAAGCTAATGTCAGACAACAAACGTTCTACTGGTATATAACCTTTTTGTAATGTCATTAAGCTACTGGATAGCAGCCATCTTTTAAGAAGTATAATAGCTTAAACATTCAGAAGCGGGGTATTTACTGCACACATGTCGTAAAGTGTAAAGAATGCGTGTCTGTTCTGCCTTGTGACGAAGGTGCAGTTGTTTGCTTTTGTTTTAGTGAAAAACTACTCTCCAATTCTAATATAACTGGTGTTATTGCAAAGTCTGCCGTCATTATACAACGCAATAGATCTTTGAATGTCTTCAGCATACCAACACAGGGGTGGTTTATTATTTTTTTCCCACCGTAGTAGATTCCAGATTGTAAAGGAACTAATAAAGTGGAAACACCAGGGGCATCATCTCCTCCTGGCGAATGCACTACGGGGGGTTAGGCTTGTTTTCGTGACAGCAACTGGGAAGACGCACGTATTATTCTGAGCGGAGATCCTGTCACACCAGAGGAGGATCACACGCTTGGCAAGATGACAACAAAGAAAAGGTTCTGGTCAGAGCAAAAAGCCCCCAGCAACAACATTTGTACGAAGCGGAAGCTGGCATGCTGGTGCAGCAGAGTCGAGTCGGTGTGTCCTGATTGCTAAGTGTGATTATTCAATGGAATGTCACCTGCGGCTCGTGCTGTTTGTGCCTTTTGTTATACGACCCGACCACTTGTTCTGACATGCACCCTTCCCGGGTCAAGTGTGTTATTGTCTACAGCCATTTGATTGGTCTGCAGTCATTTGTGTCTGTACCTTCGAAGAAATAAGTGGATATTTCCGTTATGTGACTTGTTGTTACAAAGAGGTTATTTTTAAGTGGGAAATTTTCATTAAAAAAAACATTGTTGTTAACGTCTGCCACAGACTAATACTTATTCCAATCATGCAACTGTGTTGCATTTGCAGTTACAGTTGTAGGTAAGCAGATCTGGTCGGTTAGTCGAACATGTAGTAGTACTGTTGTCGAGCAGAAAAGCTAAAGAGAGACACTTATTTTCATGCTACCTGGTAAATGCTGCAGAAACAGAATGTAGCAGTGTGGAAATAGGGTTGTCCTGCTACAGTTAACTGCGCCTGCCGACCACAAGGGCGGCGGTACTATATAAAGGCTGCCCCCCTTCTCGCGCCCCACGGAGGCATCCTTTCCGGGTCGGGTGTCTGTCTGCACAGAGTGGCGACAGAGTGCTCCGTGCCCCGTCCCCCTTTTTGCTCTTGGGTCCTCTCAACCGGTGGTAAGTGTTCTCCCTCTCCGTGTTAGACCGAACGATATTCTGTGGCTAACGTTATTGTGGTCACAGGTAGATGTCTTCCTGCCGTGTGGGTTTTTCTCCCCCCCCTCTCCCTGTGCAGGTTTGACCTGGGAAACAGGTACTTGACTTTAAACTAGCTTCCAAGAGTCTTTGACATGTAGCTTGACAATACTAACCCTATGTTCATTGACAGGGAATGCTCATCAGCTGGCTGAAATCCACCGGGGGTGATTTTATGTGACAACACTCAGTTGATTCGGGCCACTGCTGCTTTGACTGCTGCTTTGACTGCTGCTTTGCATGCAGCTTTGACTGCTGCTTTGCCTGCAACTGTGACTGCTGCTTTGCCTGCAACTGTGACTGCTGCTTTGCTGAGTAGTTAATCGTTTATTTTGTATTTCTTTTGGTTTGTTCCATTTATTTTCTTTATTTGTTTGGGTTACGTGAATTGTTTGGGATTAGGATGATTTTTATGTGAATTATTTTCTTTTTCTGTTTTGTAAACCTTCTTTTTTTGTCATCCTTCCCAGCGGCTGTAGGCTGGTGGTGGCGCCGGTGGTGTGGGTGGTGGTGGTCTTCTTCGTGTGTCGTGTCCCATTGGATTGTTGTGCTATCACTGGGTGAACTCTGGTTTGGTTTTCTCTAAGTTTGTTCTATTAATTTTCCTTCCCCTTCACCGGTGCTTCTCACCATTAGGCCTTAGCGATTAGTTTTCTTTTCTTATTTTGTGAGAAATGTTAGATTTTACGGAAATGTATATTTATTGAATAAAAATGTTTTTGTAACCTGGGAACCACGAGCCCTTGCCTGTTGAGTGAAACGAACCCGCGTGCTTTAAAAGGTCTTGGGCCTATCCCAAGTGGCGTTGCCGGTAGAATAGGGAACCATTTCGCCACAAAACTAAATATGATTTTCTCAACGTCTGCTTCAGGGCCAAACATTTTAACATATACTAGTGGAAACAATTAAAACCGAGTAGGGACTAAAACTATAGATGTTTATTGGACCATAACAAATGAATAATAACCAATGTATACTTAGCATGTGATGGACCAGCAGTGATCATAATACTGCAATGGGTTTTTAGTCATTGCTTCCTGATTACCCCAACAAAGTTTTTTTGAGAACTACAACACCGCCTTGTGTATTAGTCTTTGCAATAAAATTTATGGTGATGCACGCATAGAGGAGACTAATGGACATAAAGCCAGTCTGTTGTAATGGGGCTCGTCTCACCTGCTCGCTAAACCAAATACATGAAGAAAATAAAAATACAAAAAGAGAGTGGTGCATTTTTAATCTGGTACGCATTCGGAAACAGGCTAGAAGTGGCAGAGTTATCAATGACAGGACTGTATTCTACAAGTGAGCAATCTCGTGTGCCGCAGCGCTTGGCGCTGTACATTTCATCCCTGTGGAAAGCAATTTACTCCACCAGCTTTATTCTGCAGATGAGTGTTGGTGGGATATTCTCGTGTAACTGCAACTATTTATGCACTGAATGTGAAGATTTGTTGATGGATCTGAGGTACGGAGAGTTGAGTGCAGGCGCACACTGTAGATGACACCGGTCTAAATGATGATGTTTTGCTGTATGCATTTAGCTTAAAGGAAGTTTGCATCTTTAGAAAAAAAAAGGCTTATTAGAGCACCACACTAGACACGTGTTTAATGACCATGGCACAGAAAGTGCATTCTCTTTTGTCAGTGGATAAACAGGGATGCACAGAGGTTTGTAGCTGGGTTGCAAAGCGTTAGTTTGTGGATTTGATTATTTTTCTGGGTAGGTTACGCGCAGCCGTTTTTATGGTTTGGGTTTGTTTGATTTCTCAGGATGAAACACCGAAAGATACTGAAACTTGAAACACAATAAAAACCCAAATTGTAGTTACAAGTGACAATCCACGGCAGAGGCAAATATAAACTATGAGCAGATGCATGGTTTGTGTAAGAATGTGCTTTCCATCTTCGACTATATCTCTCACTCAAATTGAGACAAACAACATCTTTTAAATTATTTAGACCATCTTTTAAACTATGTATTACCTCTTAAACACATTTTTGCTAAATACTTTCAGAGAAAATGACAGACTGGCCAATTTTTCTATAGCCCAAACACGCCACGGGAAGATGTGTTGTGCGTCGCAGCTGTTACCATGCCACTTTCTTACCATGCAATTGCAAGCAGCACAGTGTTTACTTTGCAGGCACCAATGCTTGCGTGAGGCAGACCGGTTTTAAACATTTACAGCATGTTTATACATAATAAATTCAAATCTCTATTCTTACCGCCTTCATTAAAATCTTTGCTTCATGTGTCAAATGCAATAAATAAAAGAGCATGAGTCGGGTTGATTTTCTAATTTGTATGTCAAGCGAGTATTTGTTTGAAGAAAACACATGAATAAGTAAGTCATCTCGTCAATTTTAACACTATCAATATTGTCTACAATGGATGTGTTCAGGCATCCGAGTCGTACAGAGGTTATGACAGGCTCCATCACTGCAAAAGTTAGAAGGACTCGTGAAGAAACTGAGAATTACAAAGAAAAACTCCACACTATATTATGGTATCCCTCAGCTGTCATGGAAACCGGTCGATGTCGAATGAATCGCGGATCACTGACTTCATGTTCACTCAGCTGGGCTTTCCCTGCGGAGAACAGCTTCAGCTAGACAGATGCTTCCAGGTGGAAGTGGACCGGAGGGCAGTGCAGTACTTCTGGAGGGCTGCCACCAAGAGCTCCGGCTAAATCCACCCTACGCCCACTGCACGGCCGTGGAAGAGCCTCTCCCCCCAACCATCAATGGAGGTAATGTGCATGCGTTGGGACAACTTAATGGCAATAGAATAACTATTATTCTCTAATTCTAAAATCGGCCGCTTATCCACTATCACCTTAGAAATATTCTCTTTTATTTATGACACTTGAGGGAATTATCTGGCTCATCAGCTGGTTTGTAACGTTGTCTGTCCACCATTTGGTGCAAGTAGCGTTCAATGGGTTAATCTGAACTGCCTGTTGGGGCAAAGCATTGTGGCAGTGAGAGTGAACTCCAACAGTAAATAGATTCAGGGTATGAAACATAAAATGTCGAGCTCAAGAAGATGTTCATGGAGCTGCAGGCAACCACACATTTGAGTTTCATTAACAAAATTCTCACTACATGTGCATGTGGTGCCATATTGATCAGTGCAGCTTTTTCTGCCTTAAACAGATGGAAGGAAATACAATCCACAGGTCTGTAAAACTCAAAGTCGTAGTGGGAGGGATTAGGCTGGCTAATTACAGCAGTCTAATTAACTAACTTTGTGAAATACAGGAATACGGCATTTTCATTTGCTTAATTAACTTTGGATGAAAAGAGCGTCAGTCTCAGCGCCGTCCTTCATTATTGAGCACTTGACAATTGTTTACGGTTTCAAATCTGCCTTCCATTGTTTCCCTCCACCGGAGACAGAATCTAAATGTGCTATTCAATACCAAACTTAATAAAAATATGTGGTTCTAAGTAAACAATCCAAGCGCTTTTTTTTTCAGCATCACAGATTTCTAAATAAAGTGGAGATTAAGTGAGTTATTAAGTTGCTGCTGGAGCGTAACAAAGTCCTCACAATGATGACATCCCCGTCATGGATGGTGATGGCAGTCAGAATTTGTATTCTGTCGCCTCTGTCGCTTCCCGTTATGTGAAATCTCTTCTTGTCTCTTTCCGTTCTCCGACTGACAGGGACGAGCTCAGAATACAGACCGAGCCTCCGTTTTCCTCAATGATGGACGTAAATAGGCTGGTATTAACACGCTCCCTAACTCTTCCTCACTTAGGGGAAAAATCCTTGTCCTGTGCTCAACTTTTGACGTAACTGCCTCGGGACGGACAGTTTGCAAAGCGGCGGAGTGACTGCCGTTTGGCAACTGATGTGCGGTTGTTCTGTGAGGCGGCCACTTTATTTCTGCCCTTTTGTCAACTTTCTTTCTCTTCCCCGCTCCGCAGAGGTTCAGCCCATACTTCACACCTCCATGCCGTCTCACACACCTTCGCCTTAAAAAAAAGAATAAACAGTTGCAGCCTGGATCAAATAAGGCCGAGTGGCTGCTTGTGGGGAAAGGGGGCGCCTCTGTTTTAAGGTACGGCCTTAAGAACACAACAGTATAACTCAACCATTACACATGTCCCTTAAAAATGAAACTATAAGCAAACACAGAGTTATTCTGGCCTTGGTTTCAAGGTGAAGTGCTTGGTTTGTATGAAAAAACTCTGGGGGCATATATTCAATTCAATGCCAGCCTCTTACTAAAAAGTATAATAATTGTCCTCTGTTCATGTGTAATTAGATGAGGAAACGTGTGTGTTCAGCTGTCTTATTCCTAATGGTTACTTACCGACCATTTAATCAAACTCAGACTCTAATTCACATTTGATGAGTTCATATGAGTTTAATGCCAAAGCAAATTGAACATGTTCATCCCTCCCATCCATTTCACATAAGGTAATTAGCCTCCTTTTTGTTAAGGCTGGTGATTCGTCATTAGCTTCAGACAGTATAGGATGGGCGTGAGGTAAATGCGTCTCTATAGCACGACACATGTGCTGCAGATGCAGTTTGGTCTTAGCAAATATTTATTCAAATGGATCTAAATGTGTCTGAGTGTTGAAGAGCAGCTCAGTCATTTGACCATTCCTCACACAACACGTTCATTGGCGCTGAGAAAAACTATTAATATAATCGAAAACTTAAAGGTGGAGTCTGCAATTCACATCCAATGCCCTTTTTTCTTCAAATTTGTTGGATATCTCCTAAATAAAAAAATTAATTCATAGCTGTGACTTTGAATTCTGTTACAAACAACGATTTGAGCTTCATAACGCTGTTCCAGCATACACAGGGGAAAGGCCATGGATATATATATATATATATATATATATACATACATACAGGAAAAGGCAGTAGCAGTGTGAGGAATGCTCAATCTGCTACAAGCTAACCTCCTGAAGCAACACTGAAAGGGAGGAGCGTATTTCTTTAGCTGTTGAACTCCAATATCAACAGTATTTCTCCAGAATTTCAGACCCCACCTTCTAATATACAACTGTACACGCACACACACACACACACACACAACACACACACGTGTTAATGATTTTAATTACCATGTGAAAAATCAGAACCATGTGTGGAAATAGTAAAAGAACAAACAATATGATATGAGAGAAGCTGAGCTGCTGGTGGAATCAGAAAAGCCATTTGCATCCTGTCTTTCCTCACAATCAGTACTTTTATTGCACAGAGCATTTGTTTTTGTCTCTTCACCTATGCAGGTCGAAGGTGGCTGCTCCGAGCGGAACAGGACACACTGCGGGCGCATGTTTCCTTGAACGTGGCCGTATCGCAGTCAAGCGGGTCAGGAGTGTGCTGAAAGCACTTTTGCCAATTCAGCGGCCACAAGAGGCCCACCCGGGCGCAGGGTAGGACCAAAAGAAAAGTCCCGAGCAAGTCAAACCTTTAAGTGGAGAAGACGTGTAGGATAATTGACGAAAAGGACACTTGTGATGTGCATGTAGGCACCTTGACTTCTGTGGTTATTGAAACTCGGTTTCACAATAAGTAGCCAGCAGGTCTGCTGTGCATAATTGTGACTCAACAGTGTGCAGCATCACAGTGCAGACTGTCATGACACACAGAGCTTCGTTTTGCAGCTCACTGCTTAATGATGAGAAAACACGAGTTACATTGTATACAAACGTTGATGTGCAATTGCAAATTGCATAACTGGGATCTTGAATGAGTTTCCCACAAAAAGACAAAGTAGACAGGAACATTACGGAAGTCTCAGGTTCTCATTTGGCATCATTCCTGCATTAGCAGTTCCCATAAGTTATCTTTGTGCGAGCGTACATCAGCCGCCCTCCTTCTCAATTGGTTTGGTGGTGAATCTAAAACTGCTCCGTTTCAGGTTAAACCTCATGCTACATGACGGTAGCTCTGCTGACTCATAAATATTATACTGAGGCTGTGCTGACATCAGCTGAATATGAATCTATCAGAGCACCCATTTGTTGTTTGGTTCCACTGGAGCTCCATTCAGTTGTCTAAATGACCCTTCATTTATTTTAGTGCCCTGTTTCAAAATGGGGGAGGCAGCCGAGCACTCTGGGTGATACTCTGGATGATACTCCGGATGCGGAGCCATCATGGCTCAGCTGACGGATGGAGCTGATGCCTTTTCTCCTGCTCCGCTTCTGTTGCTTTTTCCTCCACTCTGCCGCTAATGGACGAGACGCTCTTGTTCTCTGGTTGCAAATGTAGCTCTTAGCTGCTGCTTTTAAAATAGATTAGGTGGTTTTCTCTTTCCGTTTCGTAGCTTCTTATATATCTTATCTTGGTGGTATGTTCCAATATATCCATAACTCATGGCATTTTAGCCCTTTGGGTTTTGTTCAGTGGTGAAATACGTACGATATTGTTTGGGAAGAATGTTGTTTTTTCATTCAGTCGAATCAATTGTCATTAGTAGCATTAAAGTATTTTCACAATCTTGAAAGTGTTTAATTATCTGCCTGTTAAAGTGTTTGACACGGCACCATTTACACCCCATTCATTGCTAACTTTCACGGTACGCCCCTCAGCTTTAGACGTTACAGTTCTTCCTCCGTCCTTCAGTTTATGTCCGTCTGTCGTGCAGCGCCTGTGTTTTTCTCCCCCTGCTTTCTCTTCCTCCTCCCCGTCTCTCCCTCCTCCTGGTGTGTCTGATTCGTAATCAGGCTCAGGTGGCCTCTGACAAGAAGTGGGTTGGCTCGTGCTGCAAGTAACCCTTCATTCCTCCGGTCCTCTCAGGGCTAAATACTCTCCGTGATGTGGTGGGTCTGCGATCCAAACTGTTGTTGCTTTTCTCAAAGCAATCAAATCAGCAAATACAGCTGTTCAGCATGAATTCCACAGTTCCTCCTTTTTCCTTCCAGTTGTATCGGCTCAAATCAAACCGTGTGCCTACAGCTACAAAAGTTGGATATGCAATTTGAGTTACATCAATTGTTGTAAGCCAAACTATGTTCTTAAATCCAACCAAGTGGTTTTGTTGCCAAAAGCAGAGTGTTAAAGAGTGAGGCCGACGGGGTCCTGTGCAATTGTCTGAGTGCCATCGGGTTGGGAAGAAGAAAAGGTCTTGAGCTTTTGCTGTAGACGTTAATCCTTGAGTGTCAGAGAAATTGACGTGTTTTTTCATTTCCTCAAGGATTTGGAATCTGAAACGGTCATTTAGATTTACCGTATCCAATTCTGACTATATTCACTCATGAAACCAATGGACAGAATTAGTGACAAAGGCCTTTGCTACCTAAAAGTTTAGTCATGGACAATATTTCTAATAAAATTATCGAGTATCTCAGACTGAAGAGATCAATCAGTATGTGAATCAGTATGTGAGGTTTTTAATGTCTATGTTCATTCCCTAGAGGCCAGTTTAAGTGTTTCTAAGGACCTGAAGGAAATTAAAACTAGGGATAACTTTCATAAGCAGACCCAGAGGAACATGCAGACTCAATGCCATAGATAGTTGTAATGAAAGGAGGTGATGGATTGCTGATAACATCGTCCGCTGTCTCCGTATTGCTTATGTTTCTACTTTACATAAAGGCAATACACAGTTATCCATACAATAAGTGTGACATCATACTTTAATCTCCAGTGGACTCATTTTGAATATTTTAAGAAGAACATCAGGCATATAAAGCAACAGCCTTCTTATTAGAATAAGCTTCTTCTTTATTTTCTTGGGAATTAAACTTATTCACATAGATCTGACTATTTCTGGCATACTCAATGACCGGCTTTTTGCCTAAAAGCACAAATAAAATACCAACATATAAAAATGATGCCTGTGTTATTATTATTTTTTTAATGTTTTGTAAGTTCTCAGGAAGTTGTCAAAACCTTTCCTGTTTCCTTTATTGCACTTTTAGGTCAAAGAAAACAAAGTTCTTGGTTAAATACTAATTCATTCAATACTGACTTGTCGCATAGATGGACCCTTTGTCTGTATTCAAACAAAACTAACCTGAATACATTTGTTTTTTTAATAGCCTATCAACATTCACACGACGCAAACAACCACTGTCAAAATCCTGAGGCATGTCTCTACATTCGCTCTGACCACTTTCAACCTTTGTGGCGCGCAAACAAGTGCGGCTGTCACGAGAAGCAGGTGCATTCACATTCACACAGTCGACTTTCCCTAAGGGGAAGGAGGTATTTTCATACGACCCGTTCGTTAAAACGATATCAGGGTCTAAAGTTATTTGTTGTTAAGGGGTTAGCAGCTTTGACAGGCACTTGGTTACAGCTGCAGCTGGGTGCTGCCTCAGGAAAGTCAAGTCGCTGTTGTCGGACATAGTGTGGCTGTGTAGCTAATTATGTGGTTGGCATCCTGCTGGTCAATACGTTTTCGTTGGATGATGGTGTGCACAACCTCTCTTCCCACATCATTTCCACTACAGGTGAAGTTCTCTTTTTAGTAAAACTAAAGCTAAATCCTGCAGTACAGTTGCAGGTACTGCAGAAGTTGTCAAGGGGAACTCAGACCAATTGATTAATTCTATAGTGAGGGTCACATTGTAATTGCAATCTTTTAATTTAACAGACGCATAAGCTCCAGCTTTGTCTTCTCAACTAGGTGCAGGCAGCTAAAATACCAGCACGCCCCCACCCACCCTTCCTCTCTGCAACACACACACACACAGTATACCTTTCACTTGGTTTACATCGCATCAGAGAACCTGAGCATTGGAGTCAATGAAGAGGAATGACGGTCCGGATCATCCAGTGGGTTTTTTCCCTTGAGTCTCCGTCATGCCCGTCTTCATCTGGACGCTCTATGCAAACATTGACTCCATTCCTCATTAGTCGAGCTGGCAGCCGAGAACACTGATCATACCTAGAGCGCTTTCGTCAGAAACAAGCAACATGTTTTTTGTAATATAAATATACGACACGATAAGAATTTATACCAGAGAGAATTTTAGATTTGTAAAAAGACAAAGGTGTTAGGTTTCACTTCCTTGTATTATCTCCATTGTCCTTGTATTTATCTCACACATAGGCCCACGTCTTTTTTGTTTTTTTTAAATGTCTCCCTTGATTTTTACCTCTTGTGGAGATAAAACGAATGTTTAGCTTCACAGGGGCGATGAAGCGTGCAGGTAGTAAAGGATCTTTCTCTTTCCGCCTTCCCGTTTGGGTGAGCTGACATATCGATCCGAGAGCGTTCAAACCTGGGCAAAGACATCTGTGTCCATTCAACTCGCAATGTTCCCCGGTTCCCATAGCAACCCAAGGCCGTGCGAGCTCCTGTCTCCAAGCAGCCTGCAGGTTTCCATCAGTCCCTGAGGTGTGGCTTTTCCACATTCATCCATCCTTCGCTTTCTCTCTGTTGTCTCCAGAAAATAGTGAGGGACAAACTGCAATCACGATTCTTCTGTTTTTAAATGTTAGCTGCTATGCTTCCCTTGTTGAGTGAACGCTACTGACTTATTACATTATTTTAGCATTTAGGCCAAATGCTTCTTTTCTGCATCACTGCAATTTTGTCTGTGTGCAAAGCATTTTCTTGCTGGTCTGGCACAAAAACGCATTGTGACAATATCAGTTTCCTCAAGGAGCTCCTCATACTCAACATTTGCTCGGTCGGTAAAAAACTAATTTGCCTTTTGACAGTGCGTTCTGCATAAATGTGTGCTCAGATCAATGAGGAACTTCACCACAAATTAAGCACCTCCACAGTTTCACCATAAACTTGAAAAAAGTGACCTGCCTGACCAACGTTGCTTGCTGTTATTGTTGTGGATAATAGACCCATCTCCCGTCGGGGTTCAGTCTCTGTGAATTAAGTGTAACTTGCAGCAATTTACTAGAAAACCATGTGTAAAATGATCCAAAATGTTCCCTCTTAATTATCACTTATGACCTGCTAAAAGTGTGTGCCGTGGTGAGTAGAGACCCGGCCTCATCGAGCTTGGAGAGGGAGAGGCACATTTTCTACGCATTGACAAACGGTGAACAGTATCGTAACTTTAAAGTAGTTAAAGTGAAAGCAATTAATTGCAATTAATTACCACATTTTACTGGATTATCCTTAGTTGTGAGTTTCGACCATCATGAGGCTGAAACTGCGCTAAAAGAAGTTAGATATTTGGTTGGATATGAAACATGAAAAGCAAGAAAACAGTCCGAAGTAGACCAACAATTTTTGCTGTGAAATCAATACTCACCCCACCATATCGCCCCAAGGGGTCACTTCACACCTTGCTGGTAAAGATTTCCAGTGCAATGGCTAGTGCAGCATAAAAGAAATGGATTGGAGCGCAGTGTGGGTAATCTTTGTCCCAATACAAAAACTCACACGGGTGCTTTTAAGAAAGGGTTACAATTCTACATGCATACAATACAATTTCTGTCATCTTTTGTAGATTGAAAAAAGTTTAAAAAAGAGAAAGGTCAGTGCTAGGATGCAAAATGTAAGCTTTGTTTGTTGCAATTAAAGTAACTGGCACATCGCCAGTGTGCTTTTTTTTAACACTGTACTGAATGCTCACCTCTCTCTTTATTAAATACTCTTCTTTATAAGATGTACTGTAAAGTGAGAAGGTATATCAGCATTTCATTATAATGACATAAACAATTATTCCTGCAAATTTACCCACTGAGGTAAAATATGATCCCTATGGTTTGTATTGATGTCTTTGGACATCTCAACATTGCATGAAACACAAGCATATGGAATGCCCGAAATTCATGTTAATACACCCTTAACAAAAAATCCAAAATTGGATCAGAAAATAACAGCTCAAAGAGAGAAATGGACCGTAACATAAAAGTTTCAATTTTGCTTGTAGTATGAAGAATAAATGCCAACGCAGCGCCCATGTTTCACTGTGTATGCACCCATTATTTGAAATAAGCACTTTCAAAAGGAGGGTGGACTACAGCTGCTAGGTACCCAAGATTCCCCTATACTTACCCTTTCAACGGGGGACGTTGAGCTCCCACCACGAGCCGTCCTGGAAGACAACATAAAGACAGCGTAAGGTAAACATTGCTCCAGCTAGTCAATCAATTGAGTGCTCGCCTTCAAAGGCCTGGAAATAGATCGAGGTTCACTTTGTGAAGCACAACAGATGAGAGTGCACTTAACTACAGGGAGAAAATGGGTGGCATTTCTAACCACATCTTTGCAAATGTACATCAAGAGGGGTTTATTCAGTTTTGGTAACATTGGCCAGCGTAAAATGCTTTTAGAGTGCGTGGTCCTACTTGTTCTCCCGCGCTCTCTCCCTCTTAATATCACAGGGCAAATGATTCCACATATCTGAACGACAGGTTTCTCAGATTAACATTTAGAAAGCAATGTAGAATTTAAACATACATAACAACATGCATCATACGAGAACATTTTTTTTTTCTTTAGTGCTGCTTACATTTACTCAGGCGAAGGTGATCTATTTGTCTCCCTGCAGAAGTTGTTCATAACACATGAACATTAGACACTGT